AAAATGTTAACTAATATTATTAATAGTATTATTATTAGTAGTAGTTAGTATTATTAATAACTACACATGATATCAGAGAGTTTGTCTGACTGTGTTTAATGTAATCCCTGAATTTTGAGTGTCTTTTTAGTTCACTTTCAGAGACAAGGAGAATACCAGACATTGTGATACCAGACAAAAGAAGATACCAGGAACCAGAATATATACTGACTGATCTCATTTGATGGCCATTAAACTCATTTAGTGCACTTGACAAAAAAAAAAACATAATGGCATACTGTCACTTGGTTAAGTATTGGGTTACAGCACTGGATCGAATGTCCTGACAACCCAACTTGGCAAAGATGCAGTTTAAAACATCCAGAGAAATGAGGATAAGGGAAAGAGAAGTTGAGACAGAAAAAAGGGGTGAAAGAAATTGAGAGAGAAAGAGAAAGAGAGAGAAGTGAGACCACAGGTTTTAGCTGAGAAATGTAATAAAACTGATGTGTCATAAGGAAAACTAATATACAGTATTGGATGAGTCAGACAGAAGTAGAGACACTACTGGAAAAAAGAAATGAGGAAGAACTACCGGAAACATATCAGGAGGGAAGTTGAAGTCAAAGTGTGTTTATGTCTCATGTTGTTTATATTGTAAGATGCTATGCAAACGTATAGCTTCGCCCGCATTAAATCCACTTAAAATATTAAATGTGTGAGTATAACATGTGTATGTTCTGAATGACCTATTCATGCATGAACAGTCATTTGAGTCCTAAGTGCCCGTAGACATCGTGACCCCCAGTGAAATCTGTGTGGGTGTCTGTGAGTTGAGAACTACCCCTTCCCACGAGTCATCACTGTGCAACAAGAAATGACAAAATGTACATCACCGCTTTGCTCCGCCTCCACCCTTGTGGTTTCTGCCCTATACTTCTCTGTTCTTGCCCCCTCCACAGAGGATCACTCAAGGGATTACCAGGAAGAAACGTGTGTGACGATAGTGTTTGCGAGACTTCCGTAGAGGAGGCATAAGGCCAAACTGAGAAAAGTACCAGTGCTATAGTACATCTACACATTGGCTTTCAAAAGTCTGAAACCATATTAAAACATGAACAAACAAGAAGCAATATATTTTTTATATTTATTAATCTTTGTTAGTGACCTTTGTTGTGAGTTACTAAAACGTTTCAAATCATGTTATAGTTTACAATGCATTAACCAATGTTAACAGATACACGTTTTGATTTTAATACCCCCAGTTTCTCAGACAAGGCTTAAGCCTTGCATGTTTGAGCTGTTTTAACTGAAAGCAACTTGCACTGACATATCTTAAATAATGTCAGTGCCACAGTTTCAACATCGGCAGAGCGTTTGAATTATGGAGAGACCTCCGCTATTTTTATTGTGATAAATTACAAGTTTTCAGATATGCTGAAATAATGGTAAACTGTAATGAAATAGCAAGGTAAACTACAACATATATGAGACATGAAATGAACACAAAAGACTGTTCCAGGATAATAAAAAGTGGGTGCTTTAGGATGTAACTTTTATTTTATGTACTAGATCTACTGTCACTCATCCAACTACTATCGTATTGTTTATAATACACATTTCCAGACACGTTCAGTACAGTAATGTTACTTCCTACGATCTTACTGTTACACTGAAATTGTTCAGTCTAGTTCACTAACCGTTTTCGTTATCATATTATACATTCACCTATGTTGACATTGCTGATTGTGAAAGATACACGAATAGTTAGTGAAACACCATTGACGGCTAAATGCAGTCAATGTAACGTTATCTGGTGCGAGCATGGAGCATTAGTTCAACGTCAAGCTGATAAAAGTAGCCTATTATTGTAACGTTGCAGTGGGAGTTTACATGAGTTTCCAGCATGTTTCTCCGGTGTGTTGAAAGTCTCAGTGTGGCCATGAGTGCTCGCTCTTGTGTTCGAGCACGCGCAAGAGCACGAGCGCTCTTGTAAAAATTGGTTGCAATCTGAAAGATCACCGATAGAGGCCGCTAAAAAATACATATAGCACCTTTAATCTTAGCCCTGTTTGTGAAATCGGGCCTTAATGTTGTAGTAAATGTTGAGATTAACATTAGCTAAGAATAATACATGCTGTAGAAATGTAGTTAACTAATGAAACCTTATTGCAAAGTATTTATTTGCTAACTATATAATAAAAACAAAATATGAAAATGTATTTTAAATCAAGTAGCCTAGGTAACGTATAATTATCTCTATAATCATGTAAAGATATGTACTGTATGGACCTTCCAGTCTTTGTCTCAGACAACATCACTTGAGAGAGAGTGAATGACAGAGAGAAGAGTGACGGAGTGTGTGTGAGAGAGAGAGAGAGAGAGAGAGAGAGAGAGAGAGAGAGAGAGAGAGAGAGAGAGAGAGAGAGAGAGAGAGAGAGAGAGAGAGAGAGAGAGAGAGAGAGAGAGAGAGAGAGAGAGAGAGAGATAGAGAGAGAGATAGAGAGAGAGATAGAGAGATAGAGAGATAGAGAGATAGAGAGATAGAGAGATAGAGAGATAGAGAGATAGAGAGATAGAGAGATAGAGAGATAGAGATAGAGATAGAGATAGAGATAGATAGAGATAGAGAGAGAGATAGAGAGAGAGAGAGAGAGAGAGAGAGACAGAGAGAGAGAGAGAGAGAGAGAGAGAGAGAGAGAGAGCACTAGAGAAAGGAAGTGTTGCTCAACCCAAAACTAATGCTAATGAAGAAAAACATGAAGTGATACGCTCATGTGGTGCAACTGCGGATTTGCATCACCACATAAACCTCAGCATTTCTACTCACACACTCACTGTAATCTATATATGTCACCTTACATAACAGCAGTGGTCAGAATGTGTGGCATCTTCTGTTAAACGATGGTCATGTGATTACCTAAACATCCAGTGACACCATGATGCATGTCTAACACTCTATGTCTTCACAGCAAATGAAAAAATGAAATCGCTTTGTGTCGTTAGAATGGATATTCCCTCAAAAAAGAGAGAGAACGAAAAAAAGGTTTTGTAGTATTAGGATATCCCAGCTTAGACAGACTGAAAGAAAGTAAATTTAATAAACACAGGGGATGTACAAGAACAGCCCAGAGGATTTTCTTTTAAAACTGCTGTTTTTTTTATATTAAATAGTTAAATTCAGTTGTTCCTCAAAACAAAATGTGATGCATGTGCTAAGACTGAATTGTACCTGTTTACCTACTGTTTTCTGATTTGCATGCAGATCAATTTTTTTTTGAAGAATTGTTAAAAAAAACAAAAAACATCTACATTGCTGAAGAAACTTACTTTTCAGAGGTTTATTAATAATCTAATGATTTCATTCATTTTTATAGCATATATAGAGTACATAAGGCTTATAAATGTGCACAACATTTTAATTACAGACAAATTACAAAATCAGATAAATCAGTTCTAAAGTGCTATTATTATAAAAGACAAAAAAGAAGAGAAAAATTGGGAGAAAAAAGATGTGCTATACTGCAGATATGTACAGGTAATATAAGGGTGCAATGCATGTGAAACCATGATGTTTGGGTGGGTTTTTTAATAAAGATATTGTGGTCTCCTTAAGAAGGTACTTTTTGTGAATGTACGGCCCAGCTGGTCATGGGGCAAAACAGAAATGTCATTCTCATGTGGAAAACAACAGTTGAGTAACATCAGAAAGAGACAGAGAGCGTGGGAGGGTCTTCCCCACAGGGACTGTGAGTTTCCATGAACTGTAAAATATCATTTTATGTAACAACAACCCACACATTTATGCATGCTTATTTTTTAATTTTCACGTTAGCTGGACCATTTTCTGCTACATGTTTGAAATCACTCCCTGATGTGAGATATACAAGTCTATTTTGAGAGCGTATCAGTGTAATTTGTTTTGAATATATACTAAATTAAAATTCAACATCTTTAAACTGATGCTTTGAAAAATAATTTTGTATATATTATTAACTTCAATTGCATCTATACATCCTAATTTAGGGTCACACTTTATTGGTGTCTTTACTACATGCATCAAATTTTTTTTAAATGTAGGCTACTTATTGTGTGTTTTGAAAAATCACTGTTGCTGCTACTGAGGTGGGATTCGAGTCATGCAGGGACAGGTTTAGTGGTATGGTTAGGTTTATAGGTGGTAAGACAAGAGTCAACAGTGCAATTATAGATGTAATTAAATTAATTACAGATGCAGGCATTTTTAAAATATAAATTCAATGTGAAAACACAATCAAATAATTCATGTAATTATTAGTACATGAAGATTCATTTTTTTTACAATGTCTCTATATTTGTTTAATTTTTGTTTAGTCAATTTACCTGTCATTCCAATGCAACACCATCAGTTTAACCAATAAGAAATGAGTTACAGTGGTGAAATCACAATCTGAGCACCATCTCCCTGAGGGGACAGCAGAACATCTCCAAGTACAATTTCACACCTAGATTATGATTTGGTTGGAGTACGTTAATGTTAAATGCCAAAACTGATATCATCTGAACTAGCAGATTGTCTTTCACACAAACTTTGGGTGACTAACATATCACACACACACACACACACACACACACTGCTTAATCTAAATAAGGATATAACTTCTATTGTTTTTATACAGCTAATTGCAAACTCTTAAAGACTAACCCAAACACCAACACTTTTGCATTATATCTGTGTATATATGTATACACACACACACACACACACACACACATACACTGCCTATACGAGCTTTTAAGGCTTACAATATACATTAAAATAGTGTACCATCTTAAAGACTATACTGTACTTCCAGGAACTGTTCTAATACGTATAGCTGAAAAAGAAGAACAAAATAGGCTACTGGCATTCCCAAAAAAAGAACAAAAAAAAAATCGAAACCGAAACGATATTTACAGAGAATATAAAGATAAAATCTCTGGTGCATCATCATCTCAAATCACTGACGACGACTGAACAATCAAGGTCTGATATTCAAATATATTTAAACGGAGGTAAGAGCCAATATCATTTTAACTCCCTTATTACCAGAAACTAATTACCAGAAACTAAACAGGCGATTTATTTTAATTGTTAAAATGATAATAAGCGATTTAAAGTAAATTGTTTTTCATTAAAATAAGACGCTTTAATGCAGTTGATATTGATCACTATCGATGGTTAATCATCAATATTGGGTAGGCAACTGGTATAAACGCGTTTGACAGCAACATGACAGCATAGACTGAAAATATTTTTGTGTTTTTATTGATATCTAATAGGGCTATATGTAAGGTCTGTTTAGCCCATGTAATTCAAAGTATGCTACCTTAACTCTAGGCATAATATCCATTTAGATATCCAGGACAGTAGGCTACTGAGGTTTTCTTACGTGAAATATGATCACTAGCCTATCTCGAAAAAAAGCTGGCGAAAAAGCTAACTGTGATAAAACCGTATTGTGTCTCGTGAAAGATAATTGAAGCCTATCTAATATACGAGGTATCACTACTTTGAATGATCTGACAGTTTCACTCTCCATTCTCCCAGATGTTTCGGCGATGTCAGACTCTTTTTTGCATCATCATGTGTATGGTGTCGACTACAAATACCGCTTCCCCTCTCGGCCACAGAGGAGCGCTGTCCTTCTCCAATTCACTGCGCCTCACGCGCACTGTCCGCGCCAGCGTTCAACAGCTGCTGTCCCGATACGTAAGAGAACTAATGCATATCTTCTATAGTAACCAAAACAAATTAACGCCAACATTACGATTTGTATTGTTTTATTATTGTATTTTATTGATTAGATTATTCAGTTCGTATCTAAAGTTCCACACCATGTGATTTCTTGACAGAAACAACAGGTGTTTAGAGGCGAGCTCTTTGAATACGGAGACCTAGGCCTAATGAAGCTGAGTACACTACCCACGGTGACTGTCAGTTATCAGACCTGGCTACACATGCAGGTGTGCACGCATATCTTTATCACGTAGTATTTAAGGTGGTTTACTGCATGAGGATATGTTTTAACAGTTTTGTTTGGTTCAGGACACTGAGCGTTTGCGTTTGGCCTCTCACTACCTCCAAACTTTCTGGACTCAACTGGAAAGTCAACGGCAGCAGCTTGAGAGAGAAAGAGATGCGACGAAAGAAAAAAGAGAGCAGCGAAGAGACAAACGAGGAAGGCCACAGCCCACCTTGTGCCAAAGTTTTGTCGGTCTGCAAATAGATCTGCGGGATCTAATGAGACAAGTCAACTCACAGGTACAAGTGCAGACTTGTTAGATACGCAACAACGTCCCAGCCATAGACACATCATCATTTCACAACTCTGATGATTAACTCGTCATGCCCCCGTTAAAGTTGCAAAACATAGGGGCTCTTACCAGAATATTTATGAAAATCCCAAGGGGATTTTTATAGGGTATATAGAAAATATTTGTGATATATTTAAATCTAAGAATAGTAACAATAATGACTGTTTTAGTCATATTTGTCTGGTCTGCCTCTTGATCTCCATGTAATCATTTTCTAACTGGTTGACCTTATACAGTCCAAATCTTGATTCAAGGTTACTTTGAGACTTTAAATAATATTACATTAGAATATTACATAATATTGCAATATTCTAAATCCCAAAAAAATGTAAATCTTTATTTCTAACATTAATGATCTGTTAAGAGTTTATAAGGTTATACTGTTTGCCAAAACGACTGAGTTATTATAGTGTTACCAAAGAAATCTAGCCTTTTGGGACAAAACAACAGGCTGACAGTTTAAGACTCTTGTTTTTTCTCTCTCTCTCTCTCTCTCTCTCTATCTGCAGTTGAAGAGTATTGCACGGTTGTCTGCATCCACAAAATCTCCACTTCTCCATCCCCTACACTCCACTTCATTGTCCAGTCCGTTTCCCAGCATGCATCATTCCACAGACAGCACCAGAAAGCTCCAGAGCCCAAGACCCACTGTTAACCCTAGGAGCTCCGCACACTTCACCGTACAATCATCTCAGACCTTTAACTCTGCCGACAGAAGATTGACTTCAGCAATGGAGAAGACCACTGTTAGCCTCCTGCAACCCACCACCCGGGCATCGACGCTCACCTCGACCCAGCAGACCACAACAGCAGGGGAGTCACTTTGGATTCAACATATGAGAGGGTTCATGATACTGAGAGATCTAGAACGGTTCTTGAGCAGATTGGCACGAGATTACACTGTGCTCCAAGCCAAATACTGAAAAACACATCAAGAAAAACCTTTAAAAAAGAAAAACCAAGTATTGGACAAACACGGAATTAAATTATAAAACACAACCAAGGAAATGCATAATTGAATACACTAACATTCATATCCCTAAAGAACTTCATGTCATAGTTGCTGTTTACCTTGCTCATTAACTGTTTTTTTTATGAGAATAATTTATTATTTACCGTTTGTTTACAAAAGACTAGACAGATAAATTTCAGTATTTTATATTTAATGAGTATTGTATGGGATAAGTCAGGGGAGTAAGTACATGAACAGGCAGCTAGTGTAGGTTATCATGAGATTGCCTAAGCAGTATTATTTGACAAGCAAGTATTTTTAGATAATACAATTATTGTGTTATTTGTATTAACACAATGCCAGCATCATTTAAACAAGCACATTAAAAAAATCAGTACATGTTTGGTTTATATTAGACTGAAACAAAAAAGGATAGTCAGCAATTCAAGAAAATCAAAATTCCCCAAACACCCCACTTCCCTCCTTCACTGATAATCAGCAACTCAAAGGTCAGAAAGATATTAACGTTACATCCGCTTTTCTTTTTCATTCCCCTGTACTTTCCACCTTGTCTTATTTATTAAGTTATTTATTTTATTTATGTGAAATGTGTGCAAAACCTTTTTTATACAATATTTATTGTTCATAAATAAGTGCAAAATTGAAACATGTTTTGTACAATCATGTGTACTGAATAAAATGACTGTGAAGCACTTCTATTGCATGTGTATTTATGTGACGTTTTTTCCATACAACAGATGGTATGTGAAGTCATACTGAACACTTGGTGCAACCTAAATTAAGGCATGTTGTGACACTGGCTGAAAAAGCCGTTTTTTGGCATCTGTCTGAAGTGTTAGAAAAGATAACAGAGCAAACCAAAGATAATATGTTACCCATAAGCCATTGCATTAATACATTTTTTCAAATGATTTAACAATAATTGAGTTATATAATGTCTCCACTGATAGGTAGTAGTGTTATTTGTAAATGACTTTTATTACATTTGGAAAGATTATGTAGTTAATGAGAAATTCTCAAAAATACTAGTATATATCTTATATACATATCTGTATACGTATCTGTAGTATATCTTTTTAGTTAAGCTTGAATTACTAACAAAATTGAAATATATTCATTTGATTGATTAGATGAGAGAAATTATACAATTAAGTCATCAATTAACCCACAAAATCGTAATTAAATGTAATCTAAAATCAGTATTCAAAAAAGTGATTAAAAATGCCATTTAGTATACACTTGCTAATATGTGCTTTTGGAGTGAGACTAAAATGAATTTTAAAAAAAGTGTAGTCTGGCTCTGTGTAGTGATTGGCTAAAGCACTGCTGTGAAATGATCTGCCCACTGCTGGTCAGCTGTCATTGGCTGTTCATGAGATTCGTGGGGTGGTCTAGAAAAGAAAATGCAGTTATTGCAAACAGCATGTTAAACAAATTAAACTTTGTTAAATAAAACATCATGTTCACCTCTCTGAAATACGATCACCTTTCTTTTTTTTCTTTTTTCTTTTTAAAGCAAACTCTAATAAACTTTGTTGTCTCTATACCCTTCAAACTAAAACCATTTTATTCTTTAGCCTTGTATTTCCTAATCATAAGTGTGTGTGTGTGTGTGTGTGTGTGTGTGTGTGTGTGTGTGTGTGTGTGTGTCTCACCACAGACAGGTGTCCATTCTTGGTCTTCACCACTAGCAGGTCTGATCCACTAGTGAAGTCTAGAACTCCCTCCTTTCCCTTTGCTATGGCAAACCTGATACTGGAGAGTAAAGCATACTCAGTTGGAAAAGTGTAAATGTGCATATACATATACTTGCTATAAACTAAACTTAAATACAATAACAACAATGACGAAACAAAGATAAAAATGTATACACTGCTGTTCAAAAGTCTTAGTTCTGTAAATGTTTTTGTAAGAAGTCTTTTAAGGTCACCAAGGTTGCATTTATTTTATCAAAGATATAGTAGTGCAGGGCTTCTCAACTCTGCAGGAAAGTGGATCTCGAGGGCTAGTTTTGCTCCAACCCTGATCAAACACAACTGAACAAGCTAATCAAGGTCTTCAGAGTTACTAGAAAGTTATAGGCAGGTGAGTTTGATCAAGATTGGAGCTAAACTCCACAGGAGAGTTGACCTCGAGGGCCCTGACCTACTGTATCTTTGATCCTGTGATGATAAATCTGAATTTTCAGCATCATTAACTAACTCTATTCTTCAGTGTCACATGATCCTTCGGAAATCATTCTAATATGCTGATTTGCTGCTCAAGAAACATTTATTGTTATTATAATTATTACCAATATTGAAATCTGCTTAATATTTTTGTGGAAACCATGAAATTATTTTTTCAGAATTCTTTGACAAATAGAAATCCAAAATAACAGCATTTATTTAAAATGTTTTGTAACATTATAAATTCGTAACTGTCACTTTGCTGTAAAAAGCATTAATTTCTTTCAAAAAAGTAAAATCTTACAGACAAAAAATTTGAACGATAGTTAAAAAAAATCATCAGCTCAAGGCTTGTTGAATCAGATTCTTGCCCACAGATTAATGCAGCTTTTAACAAATTAAATAAATTCCACATTGACAGTGAAGTAAGCTGTGTGCCCCTGTGGGATGGTGCCCTTGCCTCCCTAGAGCACGAAGACACCCCAATGTGCGGACTTGCCAATGTGCGGACGGATGGACGGGGACACACACACACACACACACACACACACCTGTCCTGGCTGATGTTGACATTGTGTATCTTGTCTGCCATGATGGCCAGCTTGGTGACTGTCTCAATCACATGATCGCATTGCAGCACCAAGTCACCCTAGAGGACAGAAGGCCAAAAGTCAAAGTGAAACAACAGAGCTCCAACTGCACGACCAAGACAATCGCAGAGCATGATAGGACTTCTCTCACCTTCTGCTTACTGTCAGTGGTGGGAATATGCAAAACAAAGAATCCGTCACTGAGGGAACTGACAGAGATACCTACAAAATAATACAAAGTAATATTGTATAGTATTGCAAAGTGTTACCCAGTGTGAGGTTAATGGTTTGCTGGTAGTTTGACACTAATGAGAAATTATGGGTTGAGTACTAGGGAAGAGTATGATTACCCAAGAATTAGATACGGTGAAAAACAGGAGTATGCAACTTTAATAAGCCTGGTTGTCGTACAGTATTGTTAGGCAACAATAGAGAGAGCTGTATTACAGTAACATTACCCAGCAATGTGCCGTATTCGATACGTTGTTTGATTTTTGCTTCCTGGACCAGCACAGCAGATGAAGCAGTCAACAGCAGCTGCCGCACACGTGCACGGAAACCATGCCTATCGTACTTAGTGACCGCTATACCATACTGAAAAAGAAGAGGAGAATATACGATAAGATCCTCAACCCCTCCAAAATCAACAACAAAGAAAAAACATAAGTATTAGATTAATTTAATTATATTGACTGGCTCCTTTCAAGGTCAAGGTAACTTTATGTTTTGTACAGCCAGCAGATAAACACGATGACAAAACACAACAATACAGCAGAACATAAAAAAATACCCACAATCTCTGAAACACAATAGTAAAAAAAATGACTATTTAATATTAACTTTTAATAAATACTGATCATTTTGTTGTAAGTCTGTTCAGTAGGAGCCATTTATAAATTTTTGTTCACATTGGCTGCGTTCAAAACCGCATACTTCCCTACTATATAGCAGGCAAAAAGCAGTAGGTGAACAAATCGTATGTCCGAATATGCATTGCACGTTGCATTGAATACAATCCCCCTGGAGCAACCTGGAGTCAAGTGCCTTGATCAAGAACACACTGGTGGTGGTGGCGGCTGCGGAGATCGAACCAGCAACCTTCTGCTTCCAAGTTCAGTGGTTTAGCCCACTACACCACAAAAGTAATAAAGCTATAACAAAAATTTGTATTTAAAGTTTTAACCTGTTTAAATGTTTTACAGGTAGTCATGCTCATGGAGAGCAGGCACACGAATGTTTGGAGTAAACACAGTTGCAGCCAGATTGACCCCCTACTCTTGCTTCAAGGTTGTGGGGTTCAGGGGGGCCATCCTCATGGTCTTCCTCATCCTCTAGAGGATGAGGAAGACCATGAGGATGGCCCCCCTGAACCCCACAACCTTGAAGCAAGAGTAGGGGGTCAATCTGGCTGCAAACATTCGTGTGCCTGCTCTCCATGAGCATGACTACCTGTAAAACATTTAAACAGGTTAAAACTTTAAATACAAATTTTTGTTATAGCTTTATTACTAGAGTCTAGCTCATCAATGCCCCAATTGAGAAGAGCGAGACTGTGAAGCACAGCGCAGCATGCAACAACCTCAGGCCTTGAAGAAAATAGATCACCAGCGTGTTTTCAGCATGCCAAAGGCTTGCTCTACTGAGCTTCATGCATTCCTCCTTTGTGCAGACATTGCAAATGCTGAGGAAAACCGTACTAGGTAGGGTTGTCGAGTTAGTACATGTCACTCATTCCTTTTAAGTTGTTGCGCTTGTTATTATGTTGTAGGTCAGAGGATAAAGTCAACATGGCAGATGAATGTCCGGATCGCATTCATACTACACGCATTCAGGTTATTTAGTACGTTCTCTTTTAGCACTCGCTAAGTAAGAACATGTTGATATTAAGTACCTACTCAGTATGCGATTTCGGACGCAGCCATTGTCTAATGTTTGTTTTCTGGAGTCTGTGTGCGCCCTCTACAGGGGAAACAACAGGACAAAGTCACGTGTTCAATAGGAGCACAAAGTCTTCTTTATCTTATTTGATCTTTTTTAAGTTGTCCTCTTTTCATTTACAGTTTAAAATTGCTTTGCTGTTTATATTGTATTTTTCATCAGTTTATTTCAAATACTGTAACATTTGAAATGGATATACGAACCTTGAACTCAACCTATTCAACGTGGAGTTTAATGAATACTACAATGGAACCCAATTACCAAACAAATAAGCATCCAAAAATTCCCCAGTGGGTGAACTTCGCTATGTTTTAATAGTCACTGCATAATACATTTATATGAAATACACACAAACATTCTGCATTTTTTCCCCATACAAAAGCATACAAACACATTTACCTTCACCTTGTTGTCATTCCCAAGAGTTTGCAGTCCTTTGAGATTGATATCTTCGGTCTCTGTGGTAAGA